CCCCAAAACCCCAAAACCCCAAAACCCCATACTTTAATATTAAATTGAAATGTTTAACTAAAAATAGAATTATTGTATAATAAATTATATACTTTAGTAAATGAAGTTATTAAGCATTTAAGATACCTATTCATTTTAGTAATAAAGAAACTCAAGTGAGTCAATCTGAAAGTGTCTTTCATAATTAAGCCTTCTTCTACTTACTTTGCACTTCTTACTATCAAGTGTTACAGGGTAGTCTTGCCCTACTAACTATAAATTTTTGAGTTATTACTAACAGAGTTTATGGTTGAGCTACAACTCAGTTTCAGTATCTGACATCACTCTGGAGGTTTTTAGTTGTGGTACTTATCAAGATTCCAATGGGATTTATGGGCATATGGCTGGATTCACAATTACAGGAGCTAGAAAATTTATTATAACATTTGGATATGACTAAACAGTCTGCACTGATATTGAAGCGTCACCTTCTGCGACTGAGAGTGTATTTTACACAGCTGGCAGAACTTATTCCAATAATATTAGATGCAGAGGATTACATCAATACTGGGACTAAATGATAGCAAAATATTCAACTTCAGACGGATCGCAATAATGGCTTTACACAATTGGAGGAAATAACTATGACTTACTCGAAGATATTGTTTTGAATAATGATGGAACTACTCTTTATGGCGTTGGAATGAGCTAATCATTTACCTATGGTGAGTCAGATCATGTATTAATGGCAATGAAAACTTCTGGAGCAGGATCTCTATTGTTTTATAAAAGATATGGCTGCACTAGAGATGACTAGTTGCTTGGGATTACAATATCTAATACAAATTAGTACATCGTATTTACCGGATAAACTTAGTGCTTTTAATCATCTTAATAGTCTGATTATAATATTCCAACATTTAAATATGATCTCCTTACTCATCAAATTGAATGGATGATTGTTACTGGAGCTTCATCAAAAGAAGATTACAGTAATAGTATCTAATATTCATTGTATGACTAAGGAACCTATCAAACGATATAAACTTTATAAGGGACTGATTCTTACTATAGTGGTGGCTTTATGAAAATCTCATCAGATGGGCAGTATATTTATGCTAAAAAATTTGCTGGAACTGATAGTCATGATAGCTGTGATGACTTGGATACTAATGAAGATGGTAGAGTAGTGTTTTTAGTATGCACGGTAGGTTCTACAAGCTTTATAAGCAGCGCAAGGAAAGCAGCTTTTATCTTAAAGATTAATGGAGTAGATGGTACCTTGATTCAAGCTAGAATATTTGATTCTAACAGAGATGATAATTACAGATCAGTAGCAGTAGATAAATATGGATTTGTCACTATAGCATTCTCTACAGATTCTACTAGTGGTAACTGGGCTATTTCATCAACATCATGGGGAGTCACTACTTACTATAGATCAGTAGGAGTTCTGAAAATTGCAGCTGAGCTAGATGATGTAGATTTTTTAGTTTAAAAAACTACAGTTTCATTGACTGATATAACCACTGACTGGAATGTGTAAAGAATTGGGGACAATATTTAGTTTATAAATCAAGTAATGACTGGATAAGTTTGTTCAATTTCATCAGGTAATGTTGGATATAGTTCGTAGTCATGGTCAAAAGTTGCTGTGGCCTCTACTGTATTTAACAAATTGTACCCACCTTTGATGAATGATTTAACTTTCAAGGTTGGATAAACAGTTTCAGTTGTCCTCAATAATTTCTGCTATGATACAGTTCCTACTTATGTAGATGTAATTGGTCTTGATTACAATACTATATCTCAAACTCTGTACTTTTTGCCTCCTGGATTGATCCTAAACTGGGTCACACAAAGACTTACTGGTAAACCTACTCAAGCAGGAATATATGCACTTAAACTCTATAAAGCAGTAAGTTCGGATGAAGTTAGCACTACTATTCTTATTACAATTACAGGAGGAAATTCAGTTCAGAAAACAACAAAAAAGTTTGAAATAGTACCTGATACTGTTATCGCTGGTAAATAATACTACTACAGCTTTGACCCAACTGATTATTTTAATGATGATGATACCTATACATATTAAGCTTAGCTTATAACTTAAAGAATAGGGTTAAGTATTACTTACTCAGATTTACCTTCTTGGTTAACATTCAATTCTTAGAATTATACATTTATTGGAGCTACTTAAAGCTCGGATTATAGCTAGTTTCCTGTTGAGTTAGAGATAGTAATTAAAGCTAGTGATGGCCAAGGTAACTCTATCTATAGTGATGTAGGATATTTAACAATAATAAATTCCTAACCTTACTTAAATCCTAATTTGATATTTCCAACACAATACTGCATCGAAATTAATTCAAATTTCTACATGAGATTCGACAAATAATACTTCATTGATGACGATTACTAAGATATAATCTAGACGATAAAATTCAAGCCTACTCTTAGTTTACCATATCAAGGGATATACTAGGATACCTTATCAAGATCTCTTCTTGGGAAACCTACCACTTAGTAAAGTCTTTATGCTTACCTTGAAGGGTCAGATGGATTTTAGAGTACTTAAGTCTATTTTAACCTGATTACAATTCAGTAGCCCTAACTAAGTTCTCCTAATTGCAACTTAATAAAACAAGTCGAAATAAAATCTAGAACCATATCTTCAATTAATTATAGGAAATGCTTATAAAATTCTATGGGAAAACTTATTTATAAATTATACATGTCCGATGAATCATAGATCCCAGGTTTTATCTAGATGGATGAACAAAATGGTGAACTATTAATAAATTCAACTCTTTAGCAAGCTTTTGGGTAATATAACCTTAAAATTCAAGCCTATTAAAATGAATCTTAGTGCCTGAAATTAAATTTTAGTACCAATTTAATTATTAATGTCCCTCCTATTAGAAAAATATAGGAGCTTGAACTTATTGCTTTTGCTAACAGACCATTTTATTACAGTATTAAAGATAGTATGATATACTTTGATGATAACATTAATGACTACTTAATCTATTCTTCGTTATATGACTTGACAAATAAATGGCTTAAGATTTCATAAGCAGATAGTTCATTGTATGGAATTCCAGGCTTATCTTAGGTAGGTGTAAATCTAACTACTATTCTAGTAGCTTAAGATATTTTTGGTTATGCTAGTTAAATATTACTCAACATTTAAGTAATAAAACTTTAGCCAATTTCAAAATAGTTTAATTAGATATCTTTTAACCTTGCTATTGGCTAGAATTTCACTCTTGATATAGATATGAATCAATTCACTCTGCTATAGTAAAATCAACTTTATTTTATGCTGAGAAATAAAGGATCTAATGATCTTTTTAACTGGATAAATATTGATTCTGAAAATTTAAAAATCTATGGATATGCACCGAATTACATTGAAAGCAAGCAGTATGATTTTGATCTCTGGTATTATGATTAATACAAAAACTTTGGACAAATAATTTTAACGCTAAATTTGATTTAAGACTAAATAAAAGTTTCATTAGTTGCTAATTCTAACATGATATTTTAAGTGATAAATAACTAATTCTAAAGTTTTTAAGTATAAGATAGTTAAATTATAACAAATGAAAATTCATACGGATTTAATACAAGCCTTGATTTTATTTATGATAGAGATATTTTAGGAAATTCACTAATTACATTCAATCCTTAAAATAGATCAATTAATATTCATATCAAAGGTATTAACACTCTTGCTGAAAAAGATGCAATTTAAATTTTGAAGTACTATATCGTTGATTAAGAAACAGGTTAAAAATTATCTGATGAAGGATACATTTATCTTTACATAAAATAAAAACCAACTAGCTATAATTATGCATCTATGCAATAATACTGCTTGATTGGATTGATAAGTATTATTTACTTGTGTTTATTAACAGCTACTCACTCAGATATTTTCTACAAATTTAGAAGTTAAGTTAAAACTAAAACATTAAAGAGATTTCAGCCAAGTCTAATAGTTTGATATCAGTCCTCAAATTTTAAGCTTAAGGCCTCAATTTGATTAATTTATTTAAAAAGGACTGTTTATAAACGATTAAATTTAGGGATTGAAGTGAACCTTTTGGAATTACATATTTTAATAATGGATACTAATTTATATCTAAAGATAAGTCTAGGAAATTCAATTAAATCAACTTATTTTTGATACTTTGTAAAATCTCAAAGGGAAAATATATCTAAAATTTAATATCAAATTTATTAATTTAAACATTTATTTATATTGCTTACTCTTTTGTTTATTTTTTAATAAGGGGTTTTGGGGTTTTGGGGTTTTGGGG